TGTCTGTACAACAAACATATTCCTCCAGGTTCGTGCACAGAGTTATTCTGAGCACCAGCATGGGACATCGAGTGTAGGAGCCTGATACTCAACATGGCAAGGCACAGCCACGGTGAAGAGTTGGGGAGTCTGAGCCCTGCCACAGATGTTCTGTTTCCTCTTGGGCAAAACCCTTAGCTTCTCTGGGCCCTCATGTCCACATGTATAAAAGGGGGGCGGTTAGAGGTAAGAGGGCCCACAAAATAATCACCAAGTGTCCCCCTTCTAAGTCTCAAACACATGGCTCTCTGAAATAATAGAAAACAAAATCAAGATTGGTTTTATGATGTGTTCCCAAAAATATTGGATTGGGAAACAATGAAAATGCCGAAGGAGGAGAGACCTCTTGCTTATTACTGGCTGGTCTGCAGAGAGCGTGGCCTTGTTCTCACATAGAAGGAAGTCCTTCAAACAGGCTGTTACTGCTGGGAACACAACAGCTTCCAACTGCCCTGGCTTCACCTTGTGATGAGATGAAATGTCTGTTCCCATGTGCCCATCCGAGAGGGCTCTCAGTTCAGCCAGAAATGCCTACATAGGCCCAGCTCTTCACTGACTTGAATATTTCAGCCACAACTACATGGTGGGGCTGTTATTCACTGCAGTATCCTCAAATCAACACTTACTTCAATGTAGTCTGAAAATACTAGAGAATATTCAGATTGTCAGGTTGACTCATAAACGGGCACGTAGGAAGTGTGTTTATCATTTGTGCCAACTTAATAAATGTCGCCAAGGAAATTCACTATTAGTTGTCTATTTGTAAAAATGATGTTTCTGACAAGCATCTCAAGAATATTTTCCTTTTTTTTTTTTAATCCTCACCCGAGGACATTTTTGCATTTACCCTCAGATAGAGTGGGAGGGAGAGAGGGAGGAAGAAAGTGAAAGAGAGAAACATCAATGCAAGACACATCGACTGGTTGCTACCTGCACAACCCCAACTGGGGCACAACCCCAACCGGGGCTGGGGACAAACGACAACCAAGGTATGAGCCCTTAGTGGGAACTGAACCCGGGACTCTCTGGCCCATGGGCCAATGCTCTAACCACTGAGCAAACCCAGCCAGGGCTATTTTCCTTTTTTAAATTGTATGTAATGTGTATCACTGTGAACTCAGATTCAAGCATATTTATTTATTGATTTGTTGATTTTCAAGACAGGAAGGAAGAAGGGGAGAGAGAGAGAGACGTCAATGTGAGAGAGAAACATTGACTGGTGTTGCTTCCCAGCCAGGCATGGAGCCTGCATTCTGGGTGTGTGCCCTGACCTGGAATTGAACCTACGACCTTCCGGTACACAGGACAATGTTCCAAGCACCTGACCCACACCAGCTAGAGCTGTTATGTATTATTTTTAACTCTAGAAAATAGCATTTGTTGAACTTCAGTGTGTGTGTAGTGATTATATGAGTTGTGTTTTGCTTTGGCTACAACTACAGTTTAGTTGCCTTTCCTGAATGAACGTGGACGAGTGGGAGGCGATGGTCCTCCAGTATGGTATGAGACAGGTGGAGCTGGTCCAGCATTAAACCACTTCTACTACGGGGATGGTCTACATGCAGACAATCAAGTTGTTTTACGTACTTTACAAAGTGATATCCCACAGGCCCTTAAATAGACATTTTTTTGCCCAAACCTAAAACATCACTCCAAGGGAAAATTCCTGGAGGCCGCGGTCACATGACATGCGCTCACTTTGTGACCTGCCCCCTGCCCACCCAGTGCTCAGGGAACTCTACAGACACCGTTTCTCTGGAGTGTTGTGGTGAAGCAGTCTGCCTAGGAAACTGCCGGAAATGGGACCTCCGGCGCACATCCAGGAGAGGGACACTTGCCATCACCACTCCACAGACTTGCGGCTGGCATTTAGACTTGGTTTTTTCAGGACTAGCCAGTCTGCACCCCTTTTCTCCCCGAAACCTTCCTCCCAACTTTAGTTGCCGGTATTGTCCTTCCCAAGCCACACGGAGCCTCTCTCCCGCCCATGCCCCCATCACCCCTCTCTCCTCACTTCTGCAAATGTCTCCCTGAGCCGGGCCTGGTTGAAAGGGGCTTGAGCTGTGTCTCACTTCAGCCCCCATGGGGGTGGGGGGTTGCTTTGATCCACCTAATGAATTAATGAATTAGACAGAGGTGGAGTTCAGAAGCCAGGCTCCTTACTTTTGCAGAAGCTGGGCTGATTGTGAGCCGGCCTAACTGCTGGAAAATGGCCGCTTCGTGCTAGAAGAATTAGGGACATGGCGGAGGCCATTCATCTTCCCTAATCGAGTTCTTGGGAAATACACATGTAGATTAGCCCCTAACAATGACCCCCGGCTGATTGCTTGGAGTACCCTCCACCGTGCCCACAATGGTATTGACTAGCTCTTTATGTCGCTCACAAAGGAGGCCCCAACCTCCCCTTGTCCCGCTTTGCCCTGTTTCCCCCCCATCCCTCACCAGTGGCTGTTGAAGGCTTTTCTGCTCCCTACCCCCCAGACTCTGAAATAAACAGTAAATAAAAGCGAACCTCACCTGGGCCTATTAGGGAGAGCTGGGCAGTTCCAGAGGGAATTAACTTGGGAAAACAAGGCCATAAGCCCCTTAGCGTGTGGGCAGGAGCTTAAGAAAACGCTGCCAATCTTTGTTTAGCGGTGATTATAGAGATCAGTTTAATATTGGACAAGTTTACATAAAAAGCATTCTCAGTCAGAGGGGAAACCACAAACACCAATTAATTATCCCTAAGGCTGCCTTCTACTCACCCAGGCATCAGCATCCCAACTACCTGGTCTATGTACTGGTGCATGCGACCCTGGGGGGTACCGCCAGGCTGGTTTGGGGCAGTGCCTCTGACAGCCCTGGAAGCCTGGGGAGAGCCTGGGGGCAGGCTGCTCTGCCTGGATCGTGGTGGGAACCTCTGCAGTCCTCCTGGTCCCCAGTGCCCGCAGGCCTCTGTGTAGGGATTCTGACTCCATTTCTGTCTACCTCAGCTTCTGAGATGTAGGGTTCAGTCTCCGGGAAGAATTAAAGATGCCTTTAGGCTAAGCTGTTCTTTGATTCTTTTCTAAATATCACCCTTTACAGTAATAATTACAAATGAGCTGCAGCTGGAAAACACTGGCCAGGGAGTGAACAGATCTGAGTTCTGATCCTCACCCCTCCACTTAATAGCTGTATCACTTTGGGACTCAGCTTCCTCTTCAGTAAAATGGGGACAAATATATTTGTCCTGCTCGCCTCACAGGGTTGTGGGTATCAGATGAGAGGAAGAATGTGAAATGATTCTGAAAGGTATCGTGATTTGCAAACACTATAAAGCACATACTGATTTTCATTAATTTAGCTTTTTCTTTAAAATAGTGTAACTTGAATCAGCAGCTCGATTTCCGGCTGCTTCGAACTCATACGTTTGCTATTTTAACTTACCTTTTCAGGGGTGTATTAAAAATAAAGCGATTTTTGTACTACTTCCTCTTCGTTTGTCCATGTATTGATCCTTAGCTTAGTCACATGTCCTTTTTAATGTCCTTCGAATGTCTATTGAAAGGTGGAGAATCTAAAGATAGGTGTTTTTCTCTTGCGTGTTCTTTTGTCTTGTCTCTCAGGCTGGACTTTAACCTCCTCAAGCCAGTGGCCTGGCCTCTCCTCTCCTTTGTGGGGCTGACAGGGCCCATGTCAGAGCTGGACCCTCAGAAACAACCAGTCAAGGCTTGTCTGAATGCAAAGGGAATAGACAATGGGGATGAAGGGAGGGGGCGCCCCTGAGTGGAGATCAGAGCACCTGTAGCAAAGATTTTTAAGAATCTCTGGGTCCTTCCCTAAAAGTCCTAGGCTTTTTTCAAAGCATTTAAGTCCAGCGAAGTCCAGGCCCCTGCCTCGGGTCTGGCCCAGAGGTAAGAAGTTGCCAGCGGTCACAGCACTGGGGGACGTAAAAACAAAACAACACACACGCTCCCCGGCAGAAATCACCCTTCCACTTGGCGGGTGAGACACTCGGTCATGGAAGCCTGAGAGGTACCCCCGACCGGGGAAAGCAATGCAAGCTGTTATGTGTGTGACTCCCAGAGAAGCTGGAGGCCTCCTCCCAAGGTCCTTCCCCAGGTGGCCCAAGGCTGGGTCATCACCTCGGCCTGGAGAATTGGTCGGTGGGGAGGTTTCCCGCAGAACACAGTCTGAGAGAGTGAGGAACCCTAGTGGGTCTCCCTTCGGACTGAGCCGGGCAGCACGTCCGACTCGGGGCCTTTCAGTCTCCTGCTGGGCCGTTGGGCACTTGAGGTCCTCGGGCCTGCGGGCACAAATGTCCCCAACGCCTGTCTGGGTGGGTGCCGCCGAAGTGAGGGAGGCTGCTGGGCGCCAGTCTGAGGGGACAGAGAGCACTAATTAAAACAGATATAAACAAACAAAATAAACTCGAAGTTTGGGGCTTCGCACTACGGAGCTTAAAGAGGACTGCCTGTGGGGGTACAAAGCGGAACAGAGAAGAGAAAATTCAAACCGAAAAGAAGCTTGGACTGACTTTCAACGCTGTGGAGCCAAGTAGCCTTTCCAAGGGTCGCCCCGGGGCGCTCAGCCTTGAGGAGGAAGCGCGCCCAAGGGCGGAGGCGAGTCTGGGGTGGAAGGAGATGAAGGGGTAGGTAAGCCCCAGGAAGGAGGCAAATCCTGGGGGGAGATCTGAGACCGAGGGAGGGGGCCCCACTGAAGCAAGACTAGGGGGCGCCGACCCCCCTGACCCGCGTTCTGGGGCCTGTCAAACACCCCACCGCCTGGCCCTGGGTGCTTTTGCAGTTTGGGGAGAGAATCGAAAGACGTGAGATGGAAGGTTCCGAGTGCTGCCCCTGACTGGGGTCTGGGTGAGGGTAAGATCCGCCCCGCTGCGTGGCCGGTTTGGGGGTGGGGGTGGGGGCTGGGTCCGGAGCCAGAGGGGAGGAGCCGGGGCTCGCGGGCTCGCAGCCTTTAGCCCCCGGAGCCTCAGCTCCTGGGAGTCGCACCTTCCGACTCCTGCAGTGACCCGGGCGGCCGCGGGCGGAGCGCTCGCCCACCTCCAGCGAGCGCAGCTCCGCCGACGTTACCCGCCGAGCTTGACCTTGGATCCGTAGCCATCGGGTTGGCCGGCCGCACAGGGGAATCGTCGACTTCGACCCTCTTCTCTGTCTCCAAAACAGACGGCGCTGCCGAGAGTGCGGGCCGCGCCCTCCTGCCTCCTGCTCTCCCCATGCACCTGCCCGGCTGCTCTCCAGCCATGGCCGACGGCAGCTTCTCGCTCGCCGGCCACCTGCTCCGCAGCCCGGGTGGGAGCACCTCGCGGCTGCACAGCATCGAAGCCATCCTGGGATTTACCAAGGGTGACGGGATCCTAGGCTCCTTCCCGGCAGAGCTGGGCGCCCGGGGCGCTAAGGAACGGGATGGGAGGCCCGGCGCGCGGGCTGCCTGTCCTAAGGCGCCCGGGGGAGGCGCCGAGCCCTCCCCGCCGCCCGCCCCGGCGCCCGCTCCCGAGTACGAAGGTGAGTGCGCACCCCGGCTGCTGCGAGGCCCCAGGGAGCCCAAACGTAGGATCGCTGCAAAAGGAGAGATCCCCTGCCTTAATTTTTATCAAGGGACCTGGGCGCTGGACGGGGTGCCATGTGTATAGCAGGGGCTCCCAACTTCTGTTCAAAGAAAGCTTAGAGGCCCCCCGCAGCTCTCACCCCGACCCCACCTTCCTCCAGGCCATCTCGGAGGCCGCACCCGGCTGCTGGTCCCCAAGGGTGGGCGGGGTGGGCCCCGGGATACTTCGGGGAGTGTCTGACCTTCCAGGGCCCCGTCCTCCCAGCCCCTCGCCCCTACTGCCCCAAGGAGCCCGGGGAGGCGCGGCCGAGCCTAGGGCTGCCTGTCGGACCCGCCGCCGGCGACGTGAAGCTCTCCGAGGAGGAGCCGCCCAAGAAGAAGCACCGGAGGAACCGCACGACCTTCACCACGTACCAACTGCACGAGCTGGAGCGAGCGTTCGAGAAGTCCCACTACCCCGACGTGTACAGCCGCGAGGAGCTGGCGGGCAAAGTCAACCTACCCGAGGTCCGGGTCCAGGTAAACGGCCCAGATCGGTCCCCGGGAGGGCCAGAACACAAGCTGTAGCCAGTGCTCCCTTAAACCCCTGGGAGTCCATGCATTTTCGATGCCACTTTTCCCGTTGGCCTTCCTCGACTTGGCTGGCCCAGAGCCTAAAGGCGCGTCACAAATCTGTTTCCATATGCCCCACGCACCGGTTTGCAGTTCCATCTTCCCTGTGGGGTCTCCCTCTTTAGAGTTAAAGAGAAGAATTGGGAGTGGTGGGCAGTCACAGCTCATTAGACGCAACCAGGACGGGGGTGTGTGTGTGGAGGGTGAGTAGGGAGCAAATGTAGGCAGCAGTCGAGGGTCATCGGATTGGAGTCCCAAATGCCTCGTCACTGCGAATACCCTGTTTAAAATGAAAACCCTGTCTTCCTGCGAGCGGCCTGGCGCCTCACAGTTGAAACTTTCCGTGGATTTATTTAAGGAACTGGCTTTTGCTTCTCTGGTGCACATCCAATCAAACTTCCCGCTGCTGCAGGGGCCTTTTCTTTTTGTTGTAAAGGGGTTTTTGCTTTAATTAAAGCTGAATTATCTTTAATCCCCGATCATTAAAATATTTGAAAGCCTTAAATATTTGCTAGTCATCTGTGAAAAATCTGGGATGATTTCCAAATTGGGAAAGTTTACAGAGGCCTGAAAGGGAGTCACTGGGAACAAATTTTACTGTATCTGAAAGGCAGGGGAGCTAAGATGGGATTTCTCTGTGTGTCTACTGAATTAGATTTCCAGGAAGTGAGAGACTCAGACATTTTGGGACTTTTAGCCTTTTCTTAAAAGTAAAAGGGGACAAGCTCTTGCCTTTGTCTCTTCTGCTCTGTTTGAGGGTTTCAAGTAATGAGTAAATGTCATGGTTTAAAAATATAGTTCCCTAATGTGACTCAGGATTAACTGGCAAGGACAGTCAGTTTCTCCTAAATTGGGGCAATAAAGCTGAAGTGATTTCATTGAAAGGGTGAACATATTAGCAACTGCTGTTCAGGGAGGGAGGCTGGCATAGGGAGAGGAAAGCATACACGTCAAAGATGAAGAAAGAGGAGAGGTCAAGCCTTCCCAGTTAGAACAGAGGCTCAGGCAGTTGGGGAGCTGCCTCCATACCTGAGGCCACCTCTGTCCCACCTTCCTTTCTCCCTCTTCACTTGTTCGGGTCTTTGGCTTGTCCTCTAGGTTGTGAGCTTCTTAAGAACAGTGTCTGAGACTTCTCTGTGACCACAGGGCCAGCACAGTGCCCAGCAAATGGCAGGTTCTTAATGCATGGCTATGATGTAATCAGCTGGGGGTGGGGTTGCTAAGTAGGGTCTCCAACTGTGTTGAGGGTAGCAGTATGAGCTGACTATCCTGGTCTTCAGCCCTCTGACTCTGGATACTAGATCTGAAGACCTGAGCTGATATTTTGGGGGATGGGGTGGGACATGCAGAGAAACAGAGAGAGTATGAGGTGGCAGCATTCATCCAAGACGGTGTTTCTCTTTTCTCTCCTGTGTCTGGGAAAATCGGGGTCTCAGATACATAAATAAATATTTTGTGGGAAGAGGGCAGGAGTACTTACATTTTTTGCCGCCCCCCCCCCCCCCCCCCAATCCCAGACATACCTACATGCCCGGCTGGGCTCAGGTGCTGGATGGCTATTTTCTCAGCTCTCTGGGCGGTATCCCTCCCCACCCTCACTGACTCAAAACTGCTTTCTCCCTTCTGAAGTCGCATCTATCCCCCCATTTACCCTCATAAATGTAACACAGAAGCCACTGGTTTGGCCAAAGTTCTTTCCAGATACTCCAATAAGCTAAACCAGTTCTCTCTGTTATCCTTGAGGGTGGTAACTTTATGGTGAAACCCTAACTACACCCTTTCTTGTGCTCTTATCAAGTCAAGAATGGAAGTTTCATTGTTGAGACTAGATTTCACTGTGGCATGGACCTTCCCTATGTAAAGGAAAGAGAAAAAAAAGACTTGAACTCATCGAACCCATCTTGGGGTAATGTCAGAACTAACTCCATAAAGTAAAAGTAGATATAATAAATTTAAACTGTTGTAATCATCAAAAGCCATTTATAAGAAATATCAGAAATCCTAAGTGGATATCAATTAAATAAAAGTGAAAATCTTATTGAAGCAGCAACTCAAATATGCTTGGGATAAAATAAAGTCACACTTTCCTACTAATTATCATAACCAGTAATTCGTGGAAATAGCTGTATTTTAGCATCGAATGGTGCCGGTTACAGTGCTTAGAGTATTTTATTTATACACGTGTTTATAATAGAGACAAAAGGTAGGTAAAGCCGAGAAAGTCTGAGACAGGCGTGGCGTTGAGCTGAACCACACAGGGAGGAAGCGGAGTCTAAAACGAAGTGTCAGGAGAGGCTACCAACCAGCAGGTCACAGAAAGTGAGTGCGATCTGGATTCGAAAGCCCTACCATCTGATTCCAGGGTTAACTTCACTTTTTTGGAAACAGATAACAACCACAGCTATGGGTGAGATAAACAGGGGCAACGGGGGAACGCCATGGAGGACAAGGATGGGACAGAGAGACCCAGAGAAAACAAGAGAGGAGGAGGAAAGAGACGAAAAGGAGAAAACGGGATAGAAAAGGAAGGATAATGCGGGGGGGGGGGGGTAAATAAACAGGTGTGAAACGGTCGAGCCCCAGTTCTACTTGGGGTGGAGGATGGTGCTGGCTGGGCTGCAGCTCGACGGCCGCTGTGCTGCCTCCCGCAGGTGTGGTTCCAGAACCGACGGGCCAAGTGGCGGCGGCAGGAGAAGCTGGAAGTGTCGTCCATGAAGCTGCAGGACTCGCCCCTCCTCTCCTTCAGCCGCTCCCCGCCCTCAGCCGCTCTGGCGCCCCTCGGGGCGGGCCCAGGCGGCGGCGGAGGGCCGGCAGGGGGCGCCCTGCCGCTGGAGTCCTGGCTTGGGCCGCCGTTGCCCGGCGGGGGCGCCACGGCGCTGCAGAGCCTGCCGGGCTTCGGGCCGCCGGCGCAGAGCCTGCCCGCCAGCTACACACCGCCGCCGCCACCGCCGCCGCCTTTCCTGAACTCGCCCCCGCTGGGCCCCGGCCTGCAGCCTCTGGCGCCGCCGCCACCCGCCTACCCCTGCGGACCGGGCTTCGGGGACAAGTTCCCGCTGGACGAAGCGGACCCACGCAACAGCAGCATCGCGGCGCTGCGCCTGAAGGCCAAGGAGCACATCCAGGCCATCGGGAAGCCCTGGCAGGCCCTCTAGGGGCACAAAGGACCAAATCGGGGCAGACAACCCTCCTGGGAGCCGACCCCGAGCCGCAAACGTGCACCCCTTCTCCCCGGGTCCCCCGACTCGGCTACTTCTTCCCCGTTCCGCCCGAAGCTGCAGCCAGGCTTGGGGCTTGGGTGCGCGTCTGCTCCTGACTCACCCGGGAGGACTGACCCTCAGGCTGGCCGAATTCCCTTGGCCACCCCAAACCTTCATAGACCCCCCGAGCCCTGCTGCTGGAGGGGGAGAAGCGGCCTGGCCAGCCACGCTACTCCCACCCTCGGGGGCCCCGGAGCCTCCAGTCTCAAGGGACCCAAAGCGCCTGACCTGGGCCGCTCCTGACGGCCTGGCAACCCCAGATAGCGACAACTGGGAGGAAGGGGAGGTGGGGAAATAGAGTTTGAAGAACTGTTTGTATAAGTAGTTTCAAAATATTTGAGAGGAAAATTAAAGATGTACTTGTTTTGTTTTGACTCTAGTTAAGCGCGCTCAGGACTGCGGTGAAGGGAGGAAGGTGTGTGAATGGGGGTGCGGAAGGGACTGTGGTGTCGGACCGGCTGGGTCACAGGAAGTAAGAGTGCTCGGAGCCCGGGCTCCCTCATGGTATCCTCCTGGGGGCGCTGTGCTGCAGAAAACGCTGCGTCCCTATCCTGGATACCGTGTCCCCCATTCTGCACACTGCGGCTTCCTGGAGCAGAGGCACCCCTTCCGTGGCGCTGAAGGACGTGTGCTAATGCGTGGTGTTTGGGGTGTTTGGATCCTAAGGCTCAGCTCCCTGTGCAATACCCCAACAGTCCAGCTGAGGCTGCTACTTTGAAGATGGACCCCAGTGGGAAACGTCTATACCACCTTCCCAGGGTGAGAGCTGAACGTCGCGAAGGCCCTGGCGGCCCCGCCTCCCTCTTTCCAGTGTGCGCTGGACCAAGGCCCCTCTCAGATCATTGTCCAGGTCACCTGGTCGGTGCTAGCCTCTACTACCCAGGGTCAATGACGTTAGTCCTCCGAATTGTGGCGCCGAGGGACTTTTCCTTTTCTGACCTCAGCGCCCCTCTCTTGGCCCCTCCTCCAACTCGCTCCGCACCCCACAACACAGAGGTTCTGGTTAACCCTTTACGGGTTAGCTGCGGCGCTGGGGAAATGTGTCCTGGAGTGGTCTGTGCCCAACAGGAGGGCACATCCTCTCGGGGCATCGTGGACACTATCTGCAGTTCTCTGGCACCGGCTCTGGGGTAGAGAAGGAATCCAGAGCTGCCCGCGGGCTTCACAAGCTCCTGAGGTTCTCGTGGAATTCCGGGTAAAGGAGGGCCCAGGACTCCAAGTCTGAGCGGCTGTGGAATCTGAAACTGACCCTGGAAGCTGGGCGGCCGCAGGAATAACCCGGATTTCCGATGCGCATGGCCTCTGGCCCCCTCGCTACGCGTGCACGGGGTAAGATGCCTCCAGAGCCTTGGCATCTGTGGTTAGCACGTTAGGAAACCACCCAGCCCCCGTTCCTAGTCTGAATGAACCCTACCTCTCTGGGAGGTGGGAAAGATGAAATCAGGTCCTTTGTGTGAACTGTCAATGACCGGTCATGAGGCCATACACACTGTGGGCTGCTTCTCGGATCCCTGCGCTGGGCTTGGGTTCCTGAAACCTCCTTGGAAGGATAATTGTCCCGGGGCTGAGGATAGAGGGAGTGTCATTGCAGAATTCAGGCCTTGCCATGCGGGGTCCTGAGAGGCTATGACATAAATAGGGCTGTGTACCCTAGCCCTTCCTCTGTTGCCTTGCAAATAGTAGGCTGGTCAGTAAGCATTTATTATATCGGTTGTTTCCCTAAAATGTAAGGAGCAATACCTGCGCTTTCATTCACAAGGATGTTCCGTGGGACATGGATGGGCCCAACTGATATCAGCTCCTGGCAAGAAAAAATAGGTAAACTCGAGATATATGTGTAAGCAAATGTATTTCAGTTTGGCCTATCCCTTTCATTCTTTAACGCCTAGGAATCATTTATTCAGAGAACTCCCAAATTCACTGCCCCCCAATGAGTGCCAGGCTTGCTCTGTCCTCATTATTCTTATCGCAGTCCTGGGCACCTCTGACCTTGAACATCCCACTATCAGTATCTTCTTCGCTTCTCTTAGATTATTTCTAGGATTGTTCATTCTATCTCCTCTCTCTGTCATTTTTCTTTCTATTCTTTTTTTCATCCACAACTTTTCCCCACCTCCTTCTCCCTTTTGACTATTTAGTCTGAGAGTGAATAGTCTTTTAAACCATGTCTTTACTTGTGGACAATTTGAGCTGTAATTGGATTTCAGGACAAGTCATTGGAAAATGATAATAAAAATGTTAATGGCGCCCAGCCAGTGTGGCTCAGTAGTTGGTCGACCCATGCACCAAGAGGTCCCGGGTTGGATTCCTGGTCAGGGCACATGCCCAGGTTGTGGGCCCCATCCTCAGTGGGGGGCATGCAGGAGGTAGCCAATCAATGTTCTCTCTCATCGATGTTTCTCTCTCCTCCTCTTTCTCTCTCTCTAAAATCAATAAAGAAAATTAAATAAATAAATAAAATGTTAATGGCTAATGATCTATGTGCCAGCAGGCTTCTAAGCAATTTACATCTGTTGACTCATGGAAGCCTCACAACGACCCCACCGGGAAGCTACAATTAGCCCTATTGTATAAAGGAGGAAACTGAGTCACACAGAAGTTGCCCCAGTTAACAGCCTTGTAAAATCGCTGGAGCTGGAACAACCAGAAGTTGGGGTCAGATCACCATCATAGTGCACGCCCAGGAAACATTTGCCAAATAAGTGCTCCTTATTTCAGTTCCCAAAAACAGCTCCTTAAACCACGTGGGAATCGCGGTGCGAGCTGTGAGTGCCTTCCTGGGCTCCTGGGGAGGGCTGGACAAGCACATCATTCTCTGCGCCTCCCACCCCATCCCCAGGGCTAGCAGGGCAGCTCTAAAGGTCCGGAGATTCTTGCTGCTGGCTCCAGCAGAACCGGTACAAGTGAGGCGGGAAGCCAGTACTTAACTCAGACTGGAGGTGAGGATGGCTTGTGATAAGGAGCATTGGAACCCTAGACGACCCTGAAACACGTGGGGCCGCTGCTCAAACTCAGGGCTACAGAAAGCACTTTGCAGAGGCAAAGTGGGACACCGGCTTCCCAAACTAGGCTGTGCTGCCTCTGATTTGGGGCAGGCACCCGGGACTCTGGGAGAAGGGCCTCCCCAGTAAGCCCACATCACTTGGAAAATGGTTCTGGAGTCTTCCATAATAAGCCTGAGGGTCCACTGAAGGGGAACGACCAGTTGCGAGTGGTCTTACGGGGGTCGGGGAAGAAAGACACTGTGCTGCTCCGAGCACAGCGACCTAGATGGAGACAGGTCTTGATTCAGGCCAATTTGGGTCAAGTCAATCTAAGACGGAGGCCTTGGGGACCCTTCCCCAGGAGATGACGCCTGCTCTGGCCGGCCGCGGGAGGGAAGCGGGTGAGTCGGTAGAACTGCTCGGTTTGGGCTCCCACGAACCCTTTTGAGAAACGCCCAGGGCTGGGCGCTAAGTACACGCGGATGCGGGGAAGGACGCACCGGATTGGACCGCCGTAGGAGAGGGGCGGAGCCAGGTGCGTCCCACGTCCGGCTCGCAGACTGTCAGCCGAGCTGCCGGCACCCGGCGGAGAGGCAGCAGAGACCCTCCGCTGACCCTTTGTCCTCGGCTTGCGCAGAGCCGGCCACCCTTGCTCTCCCGCCTCCCTCAGTCTCCCACGCTGCGGGGAGGGAGCTTCAGTTTTCGCGATTTTCCTGTGGAGGAGTCTCTTCCTGCCCACCAGGGTATTTTGTCCGCGATGCGCACCGCGGCCCCCGCCTCTGGTGGCGATTTCTCTCTACCGCGGGGCGCGGGGGGCTGAAGGCACCACTTTCCCGGTCGCCTGTCTCTGGAACCACAGGATCCGGAGGCGGCCGCAGCCCCTGTGGAGCTCTCCTTGCTCCGTGTCCTGGGGTTTCGCGTGGCGGACCGAGGCCCATCCATGCTGTTCATCCATCACGGGTTGCCCTCTCTCGGAACCCGGTTCTGTCCCCTCCGGGTCCGCTCTCCCACCTCCGCTGCCCCAGGGCCCTCGGGGCTACCGTGAGGAATGGGAGGACTCGAGACCCCTTGGGAGGGGCAGGCTTCCCCAGAGGTCACAAGTGAAGGGAGATGGCCCCTCTGTGTTTAATTATTTTGAACATATAGGTAATCTTTGGGGAGATGGGATATGTCAAATCAGGGAAGACAATCCCTGCCGGTCCCCCAAGCGCGCCCTAGTAAATCTAGAATCTCTCGAGAGGAAGGGAATCCCGACCCTACTCTGTCCGCCAACTTCTTTGGCTAATTGAAAGGCTTTGCAGAAGCAAGGACAACCGTGACTCCGCTTCCCAGGAGCCGCGCCCCTCCTGCGGGCAGTGTTCGGTGGAGACGTGAGGGTGTGGACCCAGCCGCCCCGAAAACTTCAGCATTTGAGGCGCTGTCTGTACCGCCGCCAACCCCACCTCCACCCCCCTCCAGCCCCAGTCCCGACCCCAAGAAGCCAGCAGGAAAATACTTTAGGGAAGATAATAATAATAAGAACTTGGCGTGTCTTATGTTCCGGAAGCACAAGCCCGCACCCGCCCGGGGGCTCGGCCTGCGTCCTAACCCGCCGGGGAAAGCGGAGGCTGCGCCGCGCCATTCGGGGCGCAGGGACCATTCAAGACCCCGATGGCGCACTTGGTGCCAATGTCGTCCCCTTAATTGAGAACTGGCTCTAATAACCTGACCTCAGCTTGTTAACTGCACAATAGTGGGCAGAGTTAATGACTCATTAGTGATTAATTTCTTAACTGCCTTAACTTCTCACTGTAAAAGCCCTTTCGTAGAACTGGATTAAATCATCTAGATCCTTGGCCGTATCTCACAGCCCGAGAAGATGCGGAGAGTGCAGGGTCTCCCCTGCCTTCACCAGGTAGGCTTAAGGTCAGGAGCAGCAGCTCTCCGCAGCCTGCAAATCGGATCTGTGGTCCAGTCATGGCTGTGACATTGCTTGATCCTGTAACCTTAAACAGATCCCTCTGTAAAACCAGATCTCCAAGATCTCCCCTCCTCCCTCATCAGCCCATCATAGATGTCTGGAACGCACACGCATTTTAGACGCTCCTCTCCTCTGCTCTGTTCTTGGTTTAAGCAAATGTGCTTGTCTTAGAAGGTTCTGAATGAACTGCACACAAGGCTCCCGTTCTGTTGAAAGTTGTCTGATAAAGGCTCTTTGCAGTGCTAATAGTAGCTGGGTTCTACAGTCTCCCCATTTGTACTTTATATATATATTTTTTTCAGTTTTATTTTATTTTTAAATGTTTTTTTATTTTTTAAATTACAGTTGACATACAATTATATTAGTTTTAGGTGTACAACCCAGTGATTTATATA